GAAACCACAAGTCTGTGAGTGGGAATATGACTGGTGGTGATATTAGCCACAATCTATTCACTAAAAGAACCAACAGTACTATATAGCCCCTAGTCCTAAGCACAGCCATACAAAGGAAATGTGACATGGGAAGGGGTTACTGGGATTAATCTGTTGATTTGTAAAGACATGAGTTAAAGAGCCATTTGGTTAAAATGTAGGGTTAAATTTTCAAACGTTGTAAGGGGGAAAGTTGACTGATGGTCTCAATGCAGCTGGACAACATAGAGATTTGAATGGCCCTTTGAACATTGTGCACTGAGCAAAATCATCCTCTGATGTTTTGTTTAAATAACTATTTGATTCAGTAATACACAAATAAATGAATACCTACAATTGATTAGCACACAAACTTAGATCAAGGCTGCAGTTTGGTGAATACTGAATATTCTTTTTAAAAATGACATTGTCCTTGTTTATTGAAGGGAAATAACTTTGTGTTATTAATTAGTGCTAACAAAATGATATCAAGTATATGTATATTATAGTACTTTGTGAAAGCAGAGTTGGAATAACATTACAGCACTAACTGGAATTATGCTGATCTCTTCTTTCTATAGGATCCTACTCATTTCTAGAACTAATTATTTAAAATGTATGTTTACTTTGACTGCAAATTACTGCAGTTTATTGTCTATCTCCCACAACACTTTAACTACAACTAAAGAGAAAACCTTCATTCAACAAAGAATCTTGATGATTTTTCAGCTTAATTACTAATTCATTTTTTACTGATATTACCAAATTTAATACTTTTTCAAAAATCCAGAGTGAATCAATTCTCTTTTGGTACTTAAATGACAATTATTGAAAATAAAGGAAAGAAACAATAAATGCCATCTCAATAAGCAATAAAGTTAAATTTGTTGAATTTAAACATCTCAATTCCACCCATAGTAAAGTTCTGATGCAATGAATTAGAAAAAAATCTTGCTTTTGAAAAGTATCATCACTTTAAAACTGATAGAAATAAATAACTGCCTTTTTCCCAGCTTCCTTCCTTCTTCCCCCTATTCTGACCCTCTCTGGTCCATTTCTCTTATTAATCTACATATTACTTACATATCATTTGATTAATGAAGAGTTAGTGAAAAGGAGAAGAGCTTCACCTTGCCTACTTGCCCATTTTGATAAAGAGGGTTCATCTTGTTTTCATGAAGATTCACATGGTCAACATTCAACCCTTGAGGAAAGCAGCACTTTCTACCTGTGAAAATCAGTGAATGGGGTGAAGCTTCCATAAGGCTATATTTACTTATTTTTAATCTCCAATGAATTGTTTCTATTTCTTAATAAACATCTATTCTCGTTTCTTATTTTCTTTTTATCACATAAAAAGATAGTTTGTGAGATACTAGAGATAGTTTGTGAGAAGGTAGGGAGGAACATGAAAGCAAAAGCATTTCTGTATACTCAAGGAAACAGCCTAGGAAGCCGCAAGTATTAAATAAAGGCTGGGTCATACAAGTGAATATATTATTTACTGGTGTTTAGGAAATAACAAGGTGAGATATCAAAATGATTTTAAAAAAAATTACAAAATGGCTCCAAGTGCACAGGGATAAATTTTAATTGTTCTTAACAAATCTTACTTGAAATGGGTAAAGCAATTATTTTGGAGTATGTTATTGACTGCTTAGGGGATATAATGACACTTTGCTCAGCAATTAGCCACCCAGGAAGAAAGCAAGTCTTAGTCTGATAAATTAGCACTGAATACATAAGCATGGAATCTGCCAGAACCAAAGACTATTGATTGAGCAATTTCCTATAGCTAGGTTATTTACATTCCTGTCTTTTAAAAAAATATTCATGAGAGAAATTGAACTTTAGAACTCACAAACGCATTACTTTGTTTATTTAGTAATCTATAGTCTTGTATGACTTTATCTTCATAACTAACCTCTACTTCCCTTCTGCTGATAATGTCAGATGGAGAAAAGCCAGGGTGCAGCGGTTTTGTTTAAGTCCTAACAATACCTCACACATCCTTCTTCTCTCTAGTTTAGGTAGCAACTCCTCTATAAATTAAACCAATGGATAAACTTATCACTATCCATCAGGAACTAAAATGCAAGAAATAGTGTAATATCAAACTCTTTCACCGAAGTCTGGAATAGATTGGTTCTGCCTTCATTAGTGATCAGGCACACACAAAAAAAGACTAGAAGGTATAAACACACTGCTTTAACCAAGTCCTGAGTGCTCTGCATGAATCATCTTTAGAAAGCAACGACATGCCCACAGTTGGAAAGCCCAGCAAAGAAAACCAGGATACATCTTGTTTACCTTCATAAGTAACAAACCAGAAGCAGCTCAAGACCACATACGCATAAGTGCATCCTCAAAAGAGAAAAGCAGCCAGAAATATTGTAGAGGCATTGTTAGCGTTTCCAACCAGTTGCCAAACCCTGGGCACTCCAATTCAAACCGCCTTGTAACACCTGGATGCCACTCTTAAAAGCTGTCTACTCAAAACATAACTGCCACCGTCCTCTATTATTTGCCTTCATCAGTATCAGTTTGGGGGGAAGGGAGATGTAGGGATCTACAACCAAAGGTGAGGAGAGCAGGACAGAGACCACTTCACCTAAGGTGAAGGCAGAATTGGTGAGAGCGACTTACCTGTTTTCCCAGTATCAATGTTGAAATGGAACTCGAGCGATAACAAATCCTCCCCTCTTGCACAGTTTCTTCCTTGCTTCTATTAAGAGAAGTGACTCCTCCTTTCAGTTTCCTACGCCTGCAACCTTGGAAATGCAGCTGCCCTGCTCACACGCGGGCTCAAAGATACAGTCACTGGGTCTCATCTCGCTAACACACCCTCTTCCCTTTCCTGGAGCTCGTCAGTGCTGCTCAGGAGTCTGTCAGGTCTGGACTAAGAATAAACTGTTTCTCCACCCTCCCGGGTCTCAAGACCCCTAGGCAGAACTTGGTTGGCTTGTGTCTCGCTGACCAGGGTGCTCCCACAGCGCCTTTGATCTGCCATCTGTGCCTGACAAAAAGTTGAAGAGAGGAGCGCGATAGGGTGAGAAACGAATGGATGCTTTGGAAGCCAAAAGGACTCGGTTGAAACTAGACAACTCTTATCAGGAACTGATCGGGGCGTGTGTGTGTGTGCGTGTGTGTGTGTGTGTGTGTGTCTTTTCTCCCCTGAGGACGGGATCTTTCTCCAGTCTCAGTTCAGCTAGAATCTTTTGCTGTTTCAACGTCCTTGATTTTGAATAGCTACTCTGATGCACCGCCATGCGTGACACGGATGATTTGCAAGCTTCTCTGTCCCACGCAATTCCGTAGATAACAGATACCCAGATTCTGCAAGGACAAGGGAATCGTTCCTTTGTAGAAAGTGACGACTTTTCCCGCGACCAAAGGACCTGGTCGGGGAGCAGACCGGGACGGGGGAACCTCGGCGCCTGAACTCTGGCCTTGGTGCTGAATCCGGAACCCGCTGCCCTAACCCTCTCAGCGGCCCCTGGGTAAGTTTGGGAGGTTTGCGGGGCACCGGCCAGTTCTAGGCGCCCCCTCGCGGGTCGCCGGCAGGAAGCTGGGCAGAGTCGATGCCCTGGGACCCTCCACAGGGTGCGCAGCTGGCTCATTTCTCTGCTTGGAGCTGGGAAAGTTTTGTCCAAGGTTTTTTGTAACTGCAGCTGCCTTCTCCCCTCCCACCTGGGTCGCCATGGAGACTCGAGCTCTTTCTCTCTCTTTCTCCAGGCAAAATGGGCGAAGCTTAGCTCAGCCCTGGACTGGAGCAAGCCCCTTTTTCTTTCTAAGCAGCTTCTGGCTATCCCCCTCCTCCGTTTTTAAGCAGAGAAGAGATAGGCAGGAAACGGTGCTAGCAGGAATGTGGCATTGCATCCTGTTCTGTGGGGGCTCCCTGGGACCATCAGACTTTAGATAAAAGCAGGCAGGAGACACTCTAAACATATAATGAATCTCCAACTCCCAAACACTGGAGATTTTTTTTTTCCTCCCTTCCTTTTTTGGGAGTGGAGGCGGGATTCTTTGGAAAATTCTGGTATTTTGTTTCTCCACTAACCTCACCCCATTTCTGTGGCTGTGTCTATTAAGATATGTTTCCTTCTTAAGAGTCTCTCCATACTGAGCTTGGCACAAGAGATATACCTGTGGATCCACCCGAGGTTTTATTGGGTTTGGGGAATACTAATGTTATTTCCACTAAAAACTAATTCAAGCTTAATGTCTTGATGCAAATAAAAATATACCCGAGAGGAAGCCATCAGCAGATTCATCCAAACCCCGAAATGTGGTAAACATCTCATTTTATCTGAATGGTGCTTTTTTCCCCTTTTCTTCCAATTACAAAATAATTCAGTTTACTTGCAGAGTTTCCTAGTCACTGTTTGGAGTCATCATATCACATCTCTGGTTTTATTGACAGAGAAGAGTTCGGAAGTATTGTTCCCCATTCTCTGCCTCTTTCTCCCCACCCTTCGCTTTTCCCTTTTCCTCCTTCTCCTGTTCTCTCTCCCCACCTCCTCTAGGCAAAGAAGAACAAGGATACAGCTTTCCACAAAGACAATGGGCTTTTCCCAACTGTAAATGACTACATGACAAGCCGCCCCTGTCAGTTAATCAGTGCATTTCATCTCCTCCAACGGATGTTGAAATGATGTCTGCAATAACTGACTGGGTTTCTCCGAGCCCAGGGCATGCAGACCCCTCCTCTCCCTGCCCGCCCCCCCCCCCCCCCCCCCCCCGCCCCGCCTTGCGAGTTTTCAGTTGCTAATGAAAACCGTATGAAACAGATTTCCCTTCTGTTATGTAACCGGCTTCTCCCTCGCCTTTCCCTTGACTTGGGCATCATGTTCTCGTCAGAGTGGAGATGCATGCAGCGGCGCGGAGACTGAGGAGGGGGCGGCGGGGACCCGAGGGCACGGAACATCTTGCCCAGATTGATGCCAGCTTCTCGCCTTCGAGCAACTCGGCGCACCGCTTACCTTGCTGCGGACGGGGTGGTTTCACTCAATCATGATCTCCTCTCTTGGAACGGAGCAAGATTTAATAACTCACTACACGATGGATGGCGAGGAGAGGAAATTAAAAAAAACAAAAGGAAAGAAAAACTGGAATCAGATGGCCAAATTTCACATCAGCCCCGGGAGGCTGTTAGGAGACTCCATTCTCCTCGCGGTGCATCCAGCTCTGGGTCTGGCTTCCCGGTTCCCGCGGATCCCCACCCCTCCGCCTGGCCAACCTCTCCGGCCAGGTGCGGCCGTCTTCAAACTGGCTCCCTCTGGGCGAGAGCGGAGAGGAGGGCTGGGCGCGGGGGCCAAAGGAGGGGCGGAGGGGTGTGCGTTTGGGCAGGGACCGGGGAGGGAGATTGAGTGGAAGGAAGGGGGAAAAGGCAAGAGTGGCGGAAAAAAAAATCCCCGGCTGGGAGAAAAGTGATGGACCACGCAGGGAGACGTCATGAAAGCCGCAGATTCAGTGAATGCTACTCAATTCCAGCCGACTGGCTGAGCCCGGCTGTCAGCGCACGAACCGACGCGGCTCGGAGGATAAAAGCGAGCGCAGCGCCGCGCGCTGGAGAAAAGCGGCCGCACAGTCGGTTCTAGAGAGGCAGGGGGCGGGGACCGGGAGGGATCCAGCGGGAGACCAGGAGACGCCTACCTGCCGCCCATCCTCATCATTGTGGCGCCGGATGGACCAGGTGGGCGGGGCTGGGGAACCCTCCATCAAACCTCCCTGAACCCGAGCTGGCGCAGAAAACGACAAAGCCAACCCCCACCCCTCCAAGACGAAACTGGAAACGTGGAGAGCTCCGTGCTAGGGGAACGTTTTTGGGTTTAGCCTCCCGGTTCCCACCTTTCCCCTCCATGTGAGTTATTCTCGGAGAGCAGCCTGGAAAGCAGGCAGGAGCCGAAGCTCGGGGATCAGGTTTTGTCTTCTGGTTAGAGGGCTCCTTCTTTAAGGTGTGACACCACGAGAAAGAAGGTCTTGTCGCTGTCTCCGTCTGGGCCAAAATGAGGGAGAGTCAGCCCAGGGCGCGGGAGCTGGAGCGCGACCGTCCACGTGGCCGGGAGGGGGCGCAGCGGCCCTCTGGGTGGGAGGAGAGGAGCTGCGCCTCAGGGCTTTGCTTGCACCCTGCTGTTCCATTTAGTCCGTCCTGCCCACCGCAAGGGGGACCCGGTCCCCGCTGCTGCTCCAGTCCCACGCTAACCGTAGTGTCGGTGTTCAGTGGCGCTTGGAAACAGAGAAAGGTGTCCCTTTTCATGCATAATTCAGGTTGCCTTCAAAGTTGACTTTGTCAGGCTTGGACAATTGCTTACTCCCTCCTTTGATTTTTAACTTGCTTTGTATTGTTATTCTAGGGAGCACCTCACAGTGCTCCCCTCTGCACCCCCTCTTTTCCTTATGGTCATCGGAAACAATATTTCTACATTTCCAAAGCCTTTCCACAACTTGCTTCCACCTCTGTACAGTCCACTCTTTTATGCCATCTTTCCTCTGGGGTTAAATAAGTTGACAACCAAATTAGAAGAGCAATAAATACCATTGGTTAATGATTTTGTAATTGCCCTTTTCCATAACTGCTTAATCTGTGCCACTTTACTTCCACAAGGCACAGAATCTCCATCTCCAAGAAGGTGACCCTATTCCAGAGGAAGGGTTGATCCTGACCTCTTATTTCCAAGATTATTTTATTCTACGTTCGCCTTCTAATTATACAGCAATTCAGTCCTTCAGGAATGCTGTCTGCTCTCTAAAGACATCTTTGGTATGGAGAGGTGTTTGCCTCAATTTGCGTCATCAGCTATATACAAATCAACCACACGCACAGCCTGTGAGCTCATGTTGTTGATTTTCCCTGAGAGGTTGTAATCTCACTTGCTCTTACTTCTGAGTCACATATCCCATATTCAGAAGATATTAGTGTGTGGAATATGCAATTGTTATGCTCCATAGTGCTTACTGGACGTGGTAACTGTGTCAGAGATAAAGATAAACAAAGGACAACTGGACTCAAGAATTCCTGAGGGATGCGGAATAAAGACTCAAGATACAGGATTTCGGTGGCCACAGCCATAGGGCATTAAAAGAACTCACATTGACTGTAGTTGTCTAAAGAACATTCTATTTCATCTATGAAGCTGCTAAGGATATGCCCACTGATTTTGATTATATACATTTCTACCGGTAGAAGAATGTCGCAAAGTTTCTTTCTGACAAGAGGTCAGAAAAAATAAGTCAGTCAAGAGAGGACCACAACCTATTTGTCTCCTTTGAACACTTCGAAAGCTCCCCTAACTTGAAACAGCTGCCAGGGTGAGGCGGGCTGCAGGTCTTCCTGGATGGGGTAGGAACTTGTGTTGAATGAGATGGATCATGTAAGCATGGCATGGGATTTGATTAATGCCAGAGACAAGGGCAATTCATTTATTCCCAAGAGTGCTTAGACAGTGATGGGCATGGGAGTACCTAGGAAGAGACTCAGCATATCCGATAATCGGGCAAGCTGTGCTTCAGAGATGAACATTGCTGCTCCTCTGAGCTCCCAAGAGTCCTGTGTCTCAGGCTGCACTGTGTTTAACATGTCTGGATTCTCACTTTTATATGTATTTTATGATTTCAGATGAAGGCAAGGCCTTGGGGGTGGGGGCTCTCAAGCCTTTAGCTCCTTCCATCTCTGGGTAGGTCCCTGCTGCAAAGCTGACAAGGACTGTGGCTTCCAGGATTGATTGATCCTTTTCTATAGATGAGCTGGATCCTCCCTCACGTATCAAACTGTAATGGAGGCTTATTAGCTAGCAGAATTGACAAACTGAATTACCTCGACCGGGTGTCATTTGTTGCTGGTGGTCTCATTTTTCTCCATCGTTGATTGGGGCAATTTACAACCCAATCTATCTCCTTCGCCTGCGTGCAGCTCTGGCCCTGCTTTGAGCAGGCTGGCCCTAGAACTGAGGTGGGGGGCTGTTTCTGGTCTCTATCTTGTTTTACTTCGGTTCACTTGTTTTGTATTTAAGACCTTAGGCTGTTGTGGAGATGCAGTTTCTCTTCCACTTCACTTCCGCTATCCACCCACTACCCCAAAAAAACCCAAGACAAAAAATTCTTTAAACTGCAGAGATGGGTGTATAATTTTTAAATAATTTGTTTTAACTATATAAGGACATCTTTAACAGCATCAAGAAAGAGAAATTTAAAATTATTCTCTTCTACAGCTCCAGCTCCACTTCCAGTGGACTAGATCAATTTCATCCATATTTCTCATTTAGGGAATATCTGTAAAGAGCAATTAGATTTTTGTTTTGGATTTTGATTATGAATTTAGAGATATATTCTTAATAAATGCCTTCGTGTATAAAAAATTAAGTACTTTTGCTAAGAAGGGGGTTCCAGGTGGTTTTCAGCTCCATAGCTTGCTAGGCATTTCAGTGCTGATCTTTAGCACTTTTATTTTCCAATTATTCAGTTATTACTTCCCTTTTGTGGGATGCATTTTCATTCATCTCCTACATGTTTTCCTTACTTTGGAACTCCATTCACTATTCCTAGTAATCTTAAATTATAAGGGCTTATAAACATTTTGAAACTTACACTTTAATTTTTGTTCCATGACCTGATAAATGAGTGCAATCTGAAGACTTATTTGATAAATTCTTACTTATCGAATGTTTTATTAGTTTATCGTTTACTAGGTATCATTCTTTTTAATCACAGTGTCCCCCAAGGAATTCAGTAAGATTTAATTCTTATGAAGTCGTAATAGCTTCAAATATAATATTTCAAAAGACCACGGGAGGTGATGACTATAAACAATTGCATAAATTAGTTTTCCTGTACCTCTTACTGGAAATAATTTTAATTAACATGAAATCTGTGCAACAGAAATATTGAGGGCCAAAAGAAAGGAACTGAATTTATAAGATGCTCTTTCTGTGGTTAACCATTTGCTAAGAGGCCCAGATTCTTAGGTTTTTACTGTTATTCTTAGCAGAGGCTATGAGTCGAAGAGAATGAGATAAAGTTCCTTCTTCTGTATGCAATTGTCTGTGAGTCATTTCCTACAGCCACCCTGTACACCAAACAGTCATTAACGGATTGGACGTGGCTTGCTTTCAGTAGAGATGGAGCTCCCACCCGGCATGGTCAGGCTTCCTCAGCTCTCCCAAGGGGGCCTTACCAGCCTTCCTTCTTGGCGATGCAATCCAGATCCAGTTCTGAATTCCAGATCAGCCATGGTGGTCTTAGCAAGATTTATAGTCAGGCTGTCTCAGCCGCCAGTGTACATGCCAAGTGATGGGTTTAGCCAGAAGTCTCCTGCTTTACTAATTTCTCTGTAAAATGGTGTTGTAGGTGGGTTCTTTGGGAAGCAGACTCTGATACAGAGTTTAGTGTGTTAGGTGTTTATTAGGGATATTTCTAAGGGATCTTATGTCCATGAGATGAACACCTATGGAAGGGAGGGAGAGGAAGTGTGAGTGGGCAGAAGAGGAAGCAAGACTGATACCAGCTTTGGCTGATCCCACCGGGAGCTCTGAAGCTAAAAAGTACCATTAGGGTTGTCCTGTATTGAGTCAAAATAGCCCCTGCCTGACTGGTCCTTGGGTGTGGGTTCTAGTACTTGTATTTCTAGTGCTTGCATTTGATGGCTAAAAATTGTCTGCTACCAGACTTCTAGAACCTAGGCCAACAAGTTCTTTCTTGAAGGAGGATCTTGTTGACACATCTCCATGTCCACCACAAGTGGAGATGATGGCATTACCTACTGCATAGGGTTCCTGCCACTATTATATGACATAATCCATATAAAAAGTGGAGCAAAGAGTCTGGCATATAGTAAATGCTTAGTACATGTCAGGTACTTAATAATGGATGATGCTTGTCATTTTTATGGTTAAGTAAACTCAGGATTGTGTGTTTTCAAGTAGCTCCAGATTTGTACTCACCTAGTTTCAAGTCCATTGGGACTTCAACATAGTTTCAAATCCCCTTTCAAGTGCCAGTAAAATGCTGAGAATGCTTCTTATTGTCTCTGATTAGTCAATGAGCTCCGTCCCTGGATCAAGTACTGTGGCCAGGAGGATGCTATGCTAGATTGTTGGTATCTAGCATCTATTTCCATCCACATCTGGTACTCTGATTCAGGAACAGGGCACATCAATTAATGTTCAAGGACATAATGTTCAGAGAAGTCAGGACATCCCTGTTGTACCACTCTCCAGAACAGGAGGAACCCAAGGCTCTGGCATCAATTGCTTCTCCTCCAGACTGAAAGGAAAGGGGTCTAGAGGACAGTAAATGTTATACAACCTTCTAATTACAGCACAAGGAAGTTTGCTTCTCTCTTTGTTGAAAACAGATAGTGGTAAGAATTGTCTTTTGTAGGCTCATATCGGAGACTTTGGTAACCACAGACGATGGGTTCGCTTTCCCTTGCTTTAGTAATTCTCAGCACTCAGTGATTTATTAAGGTTGCTCTTTCCTCCTATTTTCTCTTTATTTAGAACTAAAGTAGAAGAATGGAATAAAGAGTCAGTAAAAATTCCAAAGAGTCCGCAGGCAAACAAGCATTCCCTCCTGGAAGGTATAGTGATGCTTCAACTTAACGCTGGGATCCGTGAAATTGATTGCTTGTGGCAAACCGAGGAGAACAGATCTCATTTGCAGCCTCAAGTCCCCATGTTGCTGTTACTCCTTGTATTTATTTGCTGACTCAGGACCCACCCAGTGGCAGGAAAGAGAACACTGGTAAAAAGAGACAACATAAAGATGACAGAACCGCAGACGATAGAAATTGGAAAGCACCTTGGGGATTAGCTTGGAGATTGGTCCCTTTCCAATTTCCAAGAACCTTTTGAGGACCCCAATCAAGACCACCTAGGCTGCCTTTACCATCTAGACATGTTGATTCATTATTTCCTCTTTCCAACTGTTGGGTCAGCTGCCCTTTTTGACCCTTGACACTAACTCTCAGATCTTTAGCTTATTTCTTACCTTTGACCTCACTGGAATAATTTCCCCTCTCCTTGAAACTGTACATTCTCAGTTTTGACCCCTATTGCCTCATTCCTTGTCCTAGTTCCTATCTTCTCAATTCTGTTTCATGCATTAAAACGATTATTTATAGTACTGTAAATATGAAAGGCATAAACCTATTTCCCATAGCATTATATGATCCTTTTAAAACAAATATAATTCAGGAGATAAAAATGATATCATATCATATGATAATACCAGGATGGATTTTTGCCCAGATGTTTCATGGGTAACAAAAGAGTAATAGGACCTTTAGAAATTTAAGAAATCACGGGCAAATTACTTAAATTTTTTAGCCCACTAAAATAGGAATAATAACAATAGCTTGTATTAGTTTTCTATTGCTACATAATGAATTACCGCAAATTTAGTAGCTTAAAAAAACACCTATTTTTTGGCTCATAGTTCTGTAGGTCAAAGTCCAGCAGGGTGTGAATATATTCTCTATTTAGGACATCAC